CAAATAAATAATATGAAATTTTGTTTTTATTTTTACAGGAACATAACAGAAGTAGACAGATTGAAGTTTATTTACATGTCATTACACTTCAGTTATCTTCCCCTCAACTGGTATTGGATTTGCAACAGACCCAAGAGCATTTATTTCTTTAAGAAGTGCTTCATGTTTTGAGAAATACTCCTCATACCATTTAAGAGTGTCTATTTTCTCAGCAACAGTAATAAAAGGATTCTTGCTTAAGCCAACTAATACTAACTCCATAAAATGTCGAATGGGTCCCTCAGTGGGACACCAGTGTTCAATATGATGGTCGAGAAATATGTGCTCGGTGAAGTCCACCTTGGCTTCTTCATCCATACCTAGAAAAATTTGCCCCATTATTCAGCAACATTGATAGATACACACAAACCACAAAGCATTAAAGTTAAGTTGAGTTTATCATACCTTGTTCATTGTCAATGGGAAACTTCCATAGTTTACCCTCCTCTGTCCACACTATACACTGGTCAAACCAATTCAGAGGTTCAAATCTGGTATTTCGGTAAACTTCTGCCTGCTGGAACTTTTCCCACAGTTTAAGAGAGGAGCCTGAATGAGCTTTTGACTTGGTTCTCTTTGTATGAGAAAAAATCCCAAGAGGTGGCTGAGACTCAAGAAGCTTTTCCACATTTGTAAATGGTTTACTAATCCTTTATAAAAAATAGACATGTCATTAAAATCTGAAAATGGGTGATCAGAATTTTCATATTTAGTGGGTAACTTACATGCTAGACTGTGGCATTTGACGAGGAACATCAATCTGGGCAGCATCTGCCATAATATCGTCAATATCAACTTCTCCTTTACCCATTTTGGGCAGAGGGGCATTCATGTCTTTGGGAGGCTGAAAGTCTAAATTCTTTCCAAACTGGGTTTGATCAAGGTTTTTCTTCCTCGCTGATTGTCTGGCACCTTTCTTGACATGACCTCCCATGCCAACAAAAACTTCGTCTAACTTGCCCATGAGGTCGTTTACAATCTCATGTTCATTAATCCCTGCTTTCTTTCCGACATTTCTGGCTGCTTCAGCCATCTTTATATCTTAATTATTATTTGTTTAAAAAAGAAAAAGCACAAATATGAAAGGAATATTAAAAAGTTGATTTACAGCAACACTTCACATGATTCAAATGATACTTACTCAGCTGACCAGGTTTCATCTGAGATGCATCAACGCCTGTTCCCTTTTTCTTCCTTTTGTTCTAAATTAATAATAAAGACACATTTTTTAAAGCATGTTTATTGTAAGAATAATCATATGTCTAAGTAAAAGGCACTTACCTGAAAATTAACTCTGGGTATTGATGCTGAAAAGACTGCATTAAATATTTTATCTTCATCGACTGCATCCCTGGGGAGTCTCCGTTGCCTTCTTACAGGTTCAGACACCCCTGCGATTAGACTCGGTTCATCATCACCGTCATCCTTCTTTGATGACAGCTGGGTTGATGATGTTGAAATTGAAGTTCTATCTAGTAAGTGCCTCAATGCCAGACTAGGGGGGAAAAGTCTGAAAATCAAAATGAAAATTCAAGAATTTAGCCATTATAATCGTGTGCAAAGAATAAGGCATTAATAAACAACATTCAAAAAAGGATAATATCACCTTTTCCTCACTTGACAAAGCATGACTTTTTCCTTTAGAAAGAATCTTTCGTTCTTTCAGAGAACACAGTTACAAACGAAGTAATGCAGATACAACATACAACAACCTTTTTCGAGGTTACCTACTTCTGCTTCAGCTGCGGCTGGTGTCCTGTCCTGTGAATTTTTCATACTCGCGATCAGGTTAGGTGGAAGGTGGTGTGGTGAGGAGGAAAGGGGAAAAAGGGGAAGGGGGAAGAGGAAGGGGGTTGAAGGGTTGCAGCAGACTTTTATGCTGTTTGGATAAATTTCAGTCAATTTCGAAGTTGTGCCTGTCCACGGAAAGAGCCATTCCTGTAAGTTTCCTTTTCTGGAGCATGTAGTTTGCCATGAACTTTTCTGGCAATCTTCATCATCTGAAGAAATTTGTGAAAGGAACTGACAATGATGAAGGAGAAGCTTCTAACCATGAAGCCACAAGAACTGAGTTCTGTGGTATTTTTGATGCGAGGAAAACCTATGAGGAAATTATTGGAGGTGAACTGAAAACTGAACAACAAATTAAAGAGTCTCATGTCACTTTAGAGTATCATCAAATCTCACTTCAACCTCCACCAGTTGAGGCTTTCTTAGCACGCCCAGCATCTTCCCATAGTTTGACCAAACCGCCCACTCTCAGTTTACTGATGAAGCATGCTGAACTCAATGATTGTGAGAGGCTCATGGAAGGTCTGGAACAAGATCCTAGTTTGATTGATTCAGTCGATCAATTTGGTTGGTCACTTCTCATGGTAGCCGCCTGTGCCGGTGCACTTCAAGTCGTTCAACTTCTGCTCGATTCAGGAGCAAATAGAAGTCTGAGAGATAAGGCAGGGAACTCGTGCATTTCACTGGCCAGAAAAAATGGCCACTTGAAAGTAGTGGAAAATATACTGAAATTTAGTCCTGTTACTGCAGGTCATGATTCAGACACATCAGCCCAGGAAACTCCTCCTTTTAAAGTAGAATTGTGCCCTGCCTGCAATATCAGTGTCATCCAATCCCAAAAAAAGAGTCATCTGACGTCAACAGTTCACCAGCTGAGTCAATGTTCCAAGGGTTGCAAGACATATTACAGCATTTCTGGAAGTAATCGTGGGTATCAGCTGATGTTGAAAAATGGCTGGGATGGAGAAAAAGGCCTTGGACCATCAGGAAGTGGATTAAAGTTCCCGCCCAAGACAACATTGAAAAGGGACCGAAAGGGGCTAGGGTTATCCAAAGGGATTGCTCGGATCACTCATTTTAGATCTAATGACATAAAAGCAGTTGCTGAAAAACCAGTACCTTTAAGACATGATAACAAGAAAAAATTAAATCAACGACTTTACCGAGAAAAAATGATTGAAATGTCATTGAGACGAGATTTGAGTTAAAGGAGAATATACTAAGGTACGAAAATAAACTGTCAGTGGTTTATCATCTCTGACATGTGACCTTACTGTGTCTAAAAACAGGAGTAAATTTTGTGATGCATCAAATGTGTTTAAACTATCAAATCGATTCCTATGATTTAAAACAAATACGTTATTTTGACATTTTAAACTCTTTTCATCTGCTTTGCTCTTTCTTATTCTCTTATACTATCTTACAGCATCTTCTCTATATATTGACCTATATTATGCGTTTCTTTTTCCCCAGATACAATGGAGAATCCTGAAAAATCTCTACTTCATCTCACTCAAATTGAGGAACAGGCCCAGGAGATCTTAAGTGATCGTGAGGATATAGTTGCCCTCGACAAACAACGAAATCACAACCGGGAAGCTATCCGCGCATTACACAAACAAGATAAAACCTCAGCGTGGATTGCAGTAGGCCCTCTTCTTGTTAAAATGCCCATAAAGAAAGTGTCTGATACTTTAAACAAAGGTAATGAACTTTTCACTTTGGTTTATGGACTTTAACTTCATCAAACTCTTAATTCATAGATTTATTACTCTTGTGTTTCTTTCAGATCAAGTGCGTCTAGATGTAGAGGTTAATAGACTTCGAAGTGATTTGAAAGTGAAAGTGAATAAACTTCGTGATCTGGAGCATGCTAGTCCTGTGCCTGGACTCATGCTTAATCCAATGTCTCAAGCAGATATGAATGCTATGGGACAAGTACTTGGCAGATAAGCAATCTTTTGAGGTAATCTCCAAATGAAAAAATCTGTGATTGTAGATATTTCAGAAAAAATGATGAAATTTGTTTTGTCTGCTATGCTAATGTTAAGGAGCATTATTATTTTTTATTTATTTTTTATATAAGAGATGAAAACTGTAACTAGGAAGATAATTTCTAGCCACTTAATTGAAATAACAATTATCTTTATTTCAGTAGCAATGTATGTGGATGAAATAAAAAAAAAGGACATGATTGTGATTTGTAACAGAATGAGTGTGTAAAGGGTGACGTCCAAAATTGGTCAGACTTAATACTGAAATAGTCCTTGCAGCATTGAGTCATAACAAACTCCAATGCAGGACAATAACAATTATTTGTGACTAAAAAACTATGTTATCACTCCCTTGAACAGTGTCTGAATGTTTCTGAGCAAATTTGTTGAAAATAAACTACAGCTTCCCTGCAGTATTGACAAATTTTAAATAATTCTCTTAATAGAAATGAAGTCAAGCTTTCATGGTAATTAATATTCCTGTTGAATGTGAAACATATTGCAAGATCACCTTTTTCTTAGAATGTTCACAATGTAAATGTTCAAGGGCATCAATGAAATAAGTACATAGTAGTTTTTTAAATGTATATGCAGATTTAGGCGTCATTGTACACAAATCTTCTTTTTTCTCATGGCTTAAGATATTTCCAAGTCATTTCTCCTTAAAGATAAGAGCATCATTTTATAAATCAGCCTTATTCTTTTCTCCCCTAACTATTAATAACAATATTCATAAAGGAAGTTGCTATTGATTTGAAATGAAAGCAAACGCTTCAGAACTCTATCACATCTTCAGAACAGATCACATTGAGTAACTGGACATCATGAGGAGGAATGCTTGGTACCACTTGCTGCTAGATGAACATTACAGTCTACCAAAACATGCTTCCAAATCTTCCTTTAGTTGTTTAAACTAGTATCTCAATGATTACCTCTTTTTCACAATTGTACTAGGCAGTAGTAGATAGTATTAAATACAACTTTATCACTGCCTCAAAGTATTAGTTAAGGTGCTATTCCCATTTTTTAAATAAGGCAGTGAAGAAAAAAACTGAACCTTGACAACAAAGTGCAGTCTTAAAACTGCTACTGAAACATTCTTTTTTGGTTTGATTTTCTGTGTATGCATACATGATATACTAAAATGTTCAAATATGTATGGTTTGAAAAAAAATCACTTAAGCAAGATAAACACTACAGTTTTTCTGGAATAAAAATAAAAAGGAAAATGTGAAAGTAGACTGCCCCACTGGTTACTAAGAGCAAGGCACTTTCTCTGCATTTTGATTGTAATTGAAAATGGTAACTAAATTTCTACAAGTAAAGGCAGTACCCACATTTTGACTGATTACAACATCAGGTCTGAAATTCGCAGGTTTAATGATGCATGATGCCCAAAAATAATGAGGCAGTGTTCTACTGGTATTTCCATATTATTATCAGTTGTAGAATGTAACTCACTCCAGTTCAAACAGATACAAGCCGAGCTGAGTCTTCTGAAAGCAACAGTTACAATTACTTGAGCAGTAGATTTTAAAATACTGAGAAACCTGGAGACGATAGTTCGATAGAACAATAAAATCAGAAAAGATGACTCACAGATCTAACGACTTCAAAAAAATAAGTATTTCTTATTTACTATAAAGTTAGGAATCCTGTTGAAAACTTATTGTTTTACATTCAGTAAAAATTCAAATTAACAAAATAATTAGACTCAAATGAGTAATAATTAGTGCTCTACGTACTGATTGCCATTACATCACTGCAACAAAATACTAGCCATGAAAGTTAAGTGCTTAACAAAGATATACAGTACTTATAGGTAAACGCAAAACCAAGAAGTCCGGAGTAAAAACAAAAAAGAAAGGAAGAAAGAAGGAAAGGAAAGAAATCAGGACTTTAAAACAAAACTAGTTGTGCACCATTAGAGGATAAGTGGTTGGGGCTACTAATCTAAACTTGATAAAACAAAGATCAGTTTAATTCAGGATGTACCCTTTAACTTCCAAGAACAACATAAATTCAAAGGACGGCAAGACAAAACTGAGAATTTCTCACAACAATGCTACATGAAACTTTTTAAAAAAGGAGGTTGAAGTTAGCTCTTAATTTCATCTCACAATAACTCTTGGAATAAGGTAATTTTTTTTATAAAAATGAGTTTGGTATCACCCATACACTCTAAACTGAAAGAGACTGATTCCTTAAATCAGTAAACATCTGATGGATGAACTAACTAAACAAGTCATGCTGTATTTCATCCTCATCAGATTTTTAAATTATTAATTAAATCTTTGTTGTTTATAGCATTGGCAATGATATGTAGCTATAAAACCATTAACATTACAATACACCAGTGGTTCACAAATTACTACCTTTCTTCATAACGCCTCAGCTGAGGACAGAAGACAAACAAGGTTAAGTGTAAGGGGAAAAAAAAAACATTCTTGCAGCCCCTATCTATAAAGATTCAATATAAAATTGGTTGTTCACTTCCAAAACCTGATTGCTGAATTTTAGCAAATACTTGATTTGCTTAAGAGTGGAAGACCTGAATTCCTAGACTAGAAACAATGGGATTGACCACAGTAGCAAGGACCAGAACCACAAAGATAACAAACAATAACTGCATGTGGTCTTGTAATAAATGAGTTGGATTGGTAAAGGACAGGAAAAGAAGCATTTGTAACATCTAGGTATACAAATCAACATATGATCATAAGGTAATACAAATTAAAATAAAAATCTCACAACATATCAACAATTAATGAAGACACCATATACAGCAGGCAGCATTATTTCACATTTTTACTAACCAGCAGCAGTTGGCTTATGGCTCAAATTATCTAGTAGATTTGTCAGCGTGATCGTCAGAGAGCACGGCCTTCAAATCTCCCAACCTTCAGCTGGTTTAACTTTTTATAGATCTAAAACCATTGCAACCATTACAAAATCACTTTAGTCCATTAAAGTCACTCTTGGTAAGGTTGAATGTAATAATATTGGAATATGTGGCACATCCAACACATGACTGAAACATCAGAATCAACAAGGAGATGAATTACAATATTTAAAGCTAACATGAAGGAATGTTTAGCTACCGGTCATAAATAAATTTTTCAACAACGAAAATCAACAACTATAAGTAACAGTTTCCATATTGTATTTCTCTGTCAGGGAGCAATGTCTCTTGACTGGTAAAACAAAATGTAACCAGTTTCAGACGATTTCTGGATGTCAGATGTTAGCCCATAAAAATCTTCTATCGCGGATGAATCAATTTTCTGCAAAAAAAACAAAAAAACTTGGTATCACTTAAACTTGCACACAAAATACTGTTACACAAAAAATATAAAAAAATAGAATTGCACATACATCAACCATATCATCATCAAAAAGTAGCCAAAATCCATGACTTTTCACAATACTGATGTAGTGGCCTCGATTAGGACCACTACCACAATGAATAACAACTGCAACTAGGTCATACAAACGGTCAGGGTTTACTGCATCATCAGACTAAAAGAAAAACAAAACAAAAAAAACAAACATTTCAAACAATTATTTGCTGTAAAAGTGCAAGTTACTAAGGTGTATGATACATAGTGGCCACTTCACTCACCGTGTTAAACAACCGTAACTCCAAAGGAAATACTACCCTGTGAGAAACTTTTATGTGTCGGTTGTACTGTTCCATATATTTAAATCTCTTTAAATGCAAGGCTAAAATCATTGGTAACCTTTTAACTCGCATTCTCTTCTAAACAAAACAAACACAACAAAAGATTAAGAATGTACAGAATGAAAAGATGAGCAACATTTTAAAATATGTAATAATAAAAATAAAGGGCAAGGTATTAGTCTAACCTGAGCTTCCTGGTAACTAACACAATTGTCACATTTAAATTTATTATCCCCACACAAAGTTTCAGTGCTGCTAAAGCATTTAAGGCAGTGTGTGATGCTGGTATTTTGGTCTATATCCACTTGAAGGTCGAAAAAGTCTTCATCCTTACAACTTACCTAAAACAATTGAAGCTCATATTGCAGTGATTAATAATGTAATTGTTTGCTAGGAAAATAACTTGATAACATGTACTTACAGCTTCACAATTTAAACATCTTGTTTCACTAGTTAGAATACCTTGGAAAATCTCATGAACCCATGTAGGTTCACTTTGCGAGCTGACAGAATCACCACTTCCAGATTTATGTCTACTATTTGCATTCTGAGGCCGTTCAGCTGTAAATTTAAGAAAAATAAAATACAACAATAATAAATAAAGAAAGAAAAAACTCTAATAATGGAACAGTACCAACAATTTTAAAAATTACAATGATTGTGGCTCACCTAAAATTATTTCGTTAATGTGATTTATAAGGAAATTGAGAAATTCATGAGCATCTTGCTGCATATAGTTATCGAATTCAACTGTGAAACAGAAACAAAGTATGGCATGAACATGCAAAGCATACATTGTATCAACGTAAAAGACTAATCGTGCACAAAGCAAACCTTTTTCCTTTCTAAGTCTTGCTATGAATTTTTTGGGGGCTATTGATCCAACTTTTTTCTTCTGAGTTGCAATGCTATAAAATAAGTCGGCTAAACATGTGAGTAAAGTTTCCTTAGTTCTTTTATTTCTTGCTTTGTACTCCAATATTTTTTCTCTAAATGGTTTGCAGAAGTATAATGCTTGAAGGACAGAATTGCTGTAGCATGTATTACCAAACTGTAACAAAAAGGGAGCGGTTGTAGGTTTTTTGCATTGACATTATAGTTACTATTTAAGATCAGTAAGCCGCACATACATTGACTAGCCCAAAAAAATGTTCATTGGGTGGAAACTGGTCTGCACCAATATCCCTCTCCAGCTGGGATACATTAGCACCCTGTGAGCAAAGAAAAATTGACATACAGTGTCACGTGAAGTTGAAACAATTAATACACATTGGCTCATAAAACTCTGGTAAAACTTATAGCACTGATTGTTGAACAATGAATAAAGTGGTAAATCAATCTAATTATATAAGAGATAATTTTGGAAATGAGCAGAATACTGCCCCAAAACTGGTTATAGGAATTGAGTACTAAGTCAAGGATGTTTGATCACTGCCCGTGCAGTCCGTGGGTCAGAATGTAAAACGTAGAAAATGTAATTTGCTTCAACTTTTCAGTCATGGTGGAAACAGGATGATTCAAACTGGTTAGTATAAACTATATGACACACACATCATAGGTTAATGACACCTGAGTATTTATGCCGCAACGTCCTTAGGATACGTTTATATATTCACCATTGTAAATGCATTAGTATGGTAGCAACCAATGAAAACCAAAACTGGTGGCGGAACATAGATAAGAACAAAGTTTTCACATTGTGAACAAATATATTGAAATAACAAAAAATTAACAGAACTTTCTGCTACTCTGTTGTTTCGTTGTGGTTGGTTGTTTCTGTTGTAACTGTCTATAGTGACACAACTGATCCTCGCATATTCTGCGAATAAGCCATGTATAGCTAGAAGGCTGTGCAAGTTTTGGCGGTAAATTTTTGAGAATCTGTGGGTTTATACATAGGTTTATCTTGAGAAATGGTTGGTTAGTCTTGGTTGGTACTCAGCTACCATTAAAACAACAGCTCCTCCACCCATTTTCAAGACTCGCTCTTCGCATGTCTTTCGCATATGCGCTTCATGCGCATCTTTCCTGTTTTGTTCAGTTATCTGGTGCTTCTTCCTTCTTCCATCACGGCATTTGTATCCGAGATCAAAATGTAGTAACATTGTTGCAAATACATTTATTCAAATTTGGTTTTCAAACGCTCGGCCTGATCGCATATCCCGGTCACTAAGTCCGGGGGTCAAAATTGTGCTAATGATAGACCAGTCGCCCCGTAGTGGTCGTTGGCAAAAATAAAATGACGCAACTCGGGTGACGAGGCCGGTATGTACCGGCGCCCCAATAAGTGAGTAACTCTCACATGGCGGGGCGGGGG